CCACCTGCTCCCAAAGCCTGACTTTCCCCTTGCAGGAGATAGGGATGGGGAGGAAAGAATAGGGAGGCCCTGATATTTGGAATGTCTCTTATCCTGCATGTACCCCCTTCCTTCCTTGGCCCAGGCCTGCTGCTCCCCATCACAGCATCCTCTGGGGCTGTCCTGAAAGAATGCCACAGGGTAATGAGCAACAGACCCTGCCTTGGGAGGCTGCCTTCTTGCCTCCTCTTCCCCCCCCGCCGCCCGCCCCTCCAATCTCACTGCCAAGAGAGCCATTCCTTGCTCGGCATGTGCAAATCCTCCGCCTGCTCACGGTGAGGCCCAGCTCTGGGGTAAGCCCCAGTCTGGTCTGGGAGAGAGGTTCATTTTCCCGCATTGGAACGCCCTTCGATGGACAGCTTTACCTCCTGTGGAATGAAAGAGGGACGGAGCAGTGCAGCCCGTGCCTCCTCCCCTTGCATGCTGTATCTTTGGAAGCTCGGAGCTGGCCAGCAGGCCTGAGCACCAGGCTCTGGCTGCGAGGGCTCGACCGTTTGGGAGCCCTCGCCTGATGGCTGGCTCTTCCCCTCACTGTCACATTGCTCTCTGGGTCCCAAGACTGTCCTCTCAGGCCTTTCTCGGGAGGTGCCCAGCTGGCCTGGGGGAGCACAGCTGGCCTGAGAAACTGAGTTACTGTTCAAGCTCTGTAAACTGATAGAGATGCAGACATCTCCCACCTGTAGTCGATGGCAGGGCAAAGAGAAGAGCTGTGCAGTCCGCCCAGGGCTGCAAGAGGACCAACCCTGACCATATACAAAAAAGGGGTGCTCGGGGGGCACCTCAATGCTCACTTTGCTCTGCTGCTCACCAACCACGAAATGCAGCATGACAAATCCAGGCCACTGGCTCTCCTGAATGTCCACGACTGTGCTAGAGTCGATCTTCAGCCCCCCGCTCATTTCGGCACTGCGCACAAAATCCTGGGTCTGCAGGTCCTCCACCCGCTTCAGCTCCCCTGTAGCCAGCTGGATGATGGCGCCTTTCATGAAATGGGAGGGCAAGTGGGAGGAGGTAACGGGGGGTGGCGTCGGCTCCTTGTCTGGGAAGATGGCTCTGGCCTGCGTGTCCAAACTTGATGCCACCAGGATCTCCGAGCCCATGGGCAGCAGGCCTGGGTCAGTTCCAGTGGGCACCAGGTTGCCATTGGCTACAACCACTGCTTTGGGTAAAGGTCTATGTTTCACCGGTTCCTGATGCGATTGAGGGTAGAACCCTCGGGCCTGGTTTTTCTCAGCCATCTCTGCTGGGTTCCTGGCTGACCCTCGCCCCTCACCCTGATGGTCCAGGGTATGATGGGACAGGTTGAGGGGGCTGGGCTCATCTTTCCTCTGTGCTGCCACCACACGATAGTCCTGAGAAGCTAAAGTGCCAACCACCTGTTGGACCTCAAGGTCGGTGTCTGGGGTCCCTCGGTGTGCCGGCACTGCCACCTCCACCCGTGCAGTCTGAGAACCTGAAAACAACTGTCCATCCGCCACACACTCGACCACTGGCACCAGTCCCTGGCCATCGCCCTTGCTGGTGGGAGAGTCAAGGGCTTCACTTTCCCGTCTAACTACATTCCGCTCTTGTTGTCTCTGTCCATTGGCAGGGGCTGCTTCCAGAGCAGGCTGGCCCTCCTGAGGGGTAAGGACTGGGCTGGCACCCGTTGGAGGGGTTTCATGCAAGGTGTACCCAGCAGGTAGCCTGGACATCTGATAATAAATGGGCATCCGGCCTGGAGCAAGGTCCAGTGGCTGAGTACTGGAATGGTGTGGCAACTGCCCAGGAGGGGAGGTGGCAGAGGGGGTTTTGTTGAACGAGTGAGCTGGGGAGGAAGCCTGCGGGGGAGGAGTGGCTCCTTCTGCCAGGAGCGAGGCATATGGCACAAAGTGTGGAAGGTGGGAAGTGGCAAGGTTGGCAGAAGGGGAAAGGAGGGGACTCGGTAGGAAGTTGGGTGGCATAGCATAGGGAAGGCTATAAGGAGACCCAATAAACTGCAGGGAGGTGGATGGGAGCTGAGCATAGTGGATTGGGGGATAGTGAATTCCTGGATGCTGAATCAATGAAGACGCTACATTAAATGTGGGGGGCAAGGGGCTCATGTTCACCACAGATGGGAGGCCAGTCGGAGAGAAGGTGGCAGGTGGCATAGCCACCTTATACAGCATGCCATACTGGTCCACAGTCAGACCAGTGATGGCCTCAGCTCCATCACCCCCCAGGCTGACTCTGGCTCCTGCCTGGCTCTGCCCTGCCACCACAAGCCCTCGGGACCACTCAGAAACATCACTGGAAGGTGTGTGGTTAGTTGAGCAGCTGGTAGTTCTCCCCATATCCTCGCTGGTCACAGGGAGGTCTCGTTTCTTTGGTGGAAGGCATTCCTGACTCCTCTCATGAACAGGTTTCATATTGCTTTGTGGTGTTCCTGGAGCCTGGAAGGGGTTGGCTTGCTCCTTGGGGCATCAGAAGGGGCTTCTCTGTGGCTCCCCTGAACCCTCTCTGCTGCTGGCTGAGGCGCCCACATCTGCTAGGGAACAAATCAGAGGCAAAGTAAAGTAACCTAGGGGAGAACCAAATCAAAGAAAACAGAAGGAACTGTGGCCATGTAGGGAGATGCAACAAAGGAGACTGTTGAAAAAAAAAAAGAGGTATGAGAGCAGGGCAGACAAGGATGCTACCCTTCTCACTCATTCAGCCTAGGATACACATGAGAAAACAGTCACAAAACCACAGAGCTACAAGGACAAGCATTCAACAAAGCAGAAATAAACCGAGAGAGACCAGCAGTTTCATGATTAGTTGTGCCTATAATTGTTCTCAGCCTTTTCCCTGAAGGATCTGAATACACGGTCATTGCTGCTGGGTCTTTCTTCCTTTCTCCTTTTGCCGCCAAAGACTACTGTGCTATCTTCTTTCCTAAACATATGACCTCATCCCCACTTCCTTTCCCCAGCCTAATTTGGGTTATGAACTCACCTATCTCTAGTCCCCTCAGCCCAGCCCTTGTTAAATTCTCATCCTCTTCTGCCTCAAATCACCACTACCTCAAGGACCCAGGTGTCAGTAAGTCCTCAGATTTGCTCGTGTCCTATTTTTACACACCTCCCTCCCTACACCTTTAGGAACATTAGTATTGTCTTTGCCCTGTGAAATACTACATTCAAATCTGGGCTCTGTGGGGAGAGGATGGCACTAGTGTTCTACAATTTATTTGCTTCTCCTCCTCCCCAAGGAACAACAAAACTCTTCTGACCTCACACAGACTTCTTTTCCTCACATTAACCACCTCCAATTTGCCTTCTTCACTCACTCCCTTTCTTTTTTCTTTTGTTTTGTCAGTGGCTCCTTTTCCACTGTAGGTCTGCACTAGGCACCACTTCCTAAAATTCCGATTCCATTGCTCCGAACATGCCTATTTGTTACTATCTTAGGTCTGCATGATCAGTAAGAAGGATCTCCCCTTTCTCTCGTTGTCACCTTCCATACATGCTTTTGTCCATTGTCATAAAGTATCTTTTTGGTCTGAACACTTCAGTGCATATGAACTTTGTCACCTATATCTTCCAATCAGGCTCCAGTTCTTTGGATCTGAAAAGAGATTTCTATATTACACTCTGTTCTGTTTTTCCACTGTTGAATTCCAGATTTTTGTTTGTTTGTTTTTGCAACAAGTTATCCAAAGCGCCTATATTACCTGAGCTTTCAGTGGTGCTTCTGAGCAGCTGTAGTAAGCAAGTGTCTTTCCGCTGGCGTGCAAGCCTGGAAGACAGACATAGAGATAAAGTAAGCAGGAGCCTTGCCTTCGACCCCTCTCCAGGGTCATCAAGAAAAGTAACTCTGCAGTTACAAAGACATCAAACTCCACGAGTCCCTGCTTTGTCCTCTTCTCTAGAGGTAATAGCATGTGCACCCAGAGTGCCCAAGAAGTTAAACAGAGAAAAAGCCATCTCTTAAACTCTAATTTATAGGAAGACATTCCTGTAAAAAATTTTCCATGTCAAATCTCATTGTTTTCTTTAGCATCGTATTCTTCATTCTCTAGCTGTACCTATTCCCCAAAGGTTAACTTTACCTCCAATCCCAATTTCAGGTAAATGTACAAATAAAGTGGAAGACTCAACATTGTTTCCATGTGAACAATGGGAAGCAGGAAAAATGAACTTCACAGATTTCACTTTTATTCAGAGCTGATGAAAACACAGTTGTGGAGGTTACTTAAATGAGAAAAGCAGCACTAGAGGAAAAAGAGCGATTATTTATGTTTCTGGGGCAGAAAAAGAGGTCAGGGGGGACTCACTCAAGGGGAAGCCTTATTAACAGATTTTCAGAGTGAAAATAAAGGTCTCCTCTGTGTGTGTAAAATTTTGTAAGTGACAACTTTGTACCGAGTGCCGAATCAGGTAACACAGAAATTAAAAACATTCCCTTGGTCCTAATGTAGCTAACAATGGGCAACCAAACTTGTGCTAAACTGTCAATATCTGAACCCACACATGCCAGAAACATCAAGCACTAAAGAAGAGTCTTAATCTCTGAAAACGGAGAAAGCAGGACTGCCCAGTACTCTGAGAAGCTACCCACTGTCCTGCCCAAATCCTACAGAACACTACAAGCCTCAAACCAAAGGCAACATTTATCTCTTGCGATTGGCAAGGTGCAGACGTACCCAAAAAGGTGATGAGAGAGGAAAACAAGGTGGAAAGATACGTCGTCCCTCGTTCCATAAACACAAACTGCACAACAGGCACAAGTCCTGTATTCCTTCTTTGCTGCACTTCCAGCAACTGAAAAGCAGTTAGTTTTCTCCTTCATTCTCAACAAAAATGGGGTCCACCTTCAACCCCAGAATGATTCTTGCTTCCTGCAACTAAAACATTAAAGAAAACCGGCCTCTAGGTCACTGAGGGGTTAGCCAAACACAAGCTAATAAAAGGACTGAAAGAGGCGAAAGGTCTGAGAAATGACAACAAAGAGCCAAGCCCGTGTACCAGGTTCCCACAACGCAAAACACATTTCGGAACCTGAAACCTCAGCCTCTGAAGGGGCTCAATGAGGGTTTCAAAAGGAGAAGACGTAGCTCGCTACCCCAACCGAGCTAACGGGGAAGAGGGGCTGTTCCAGAGAGTTGCCAACGTTGCCAACAGAAACAAGGAATCAAAAGGCTGAACCCTGCCAGAGATCAGAATTCGGTGAAGGCGAGAGGTGCGCCCGCCAGAGAGGAGGTCGAAAGATACTGGGGGTTCTGGTTTCTTGTGATCTCGCAATCTTTGCTACAAAAAGGGTAGGGCTCGAAATTGGGAATTCAACGTTTAGAGAGTGGGGGCGGGGAGGGGGGTCGACCCTCCAAGCAGAGGAGCAGGGGCTAGGGTCCGCAGGTGATGCTTCCTTGTTTGGGGGCCCCTTCCCGCCCCAAGAACTCGGACACTCCCGCCAGTGGGGACACAGCCGCGGGGTCGCCGGAGCCCGAGACCGCCCTCTGGACTGGGTCAGAGAGAAGTGCGCGGGGGTCTAGGCGCGGCCTCTCGCTCGCTCGGTCCGCGGTTCGAGGGGGCAACGGGGTCCGGGGGGCCACTTCCTCCGGAGCTCTGAGCCCAGGCCTGCTTGGCCTCAGTGAGGCCGGCCAGGCGGCCACTCCCGGCGACACTCACCGGCCCATCTCACGGCGCTCTTCGGGCTCCTCCCGCTCGTCCCGGAGCCGCCGCAGTAGCGGCCGCCGCCATCCCCGGCCCCGGAGCCGCCCCACACCCAGCACCCCCACCCCCGAGTCGGGCGCCTGGAGATGGCGTAACGCGCGTCCCGCCCCCGGCGCGGGCCGATGGCGTCAGTGCTGGGCTGGAGAGTGACGCCCAGGAGAACCCGCAGGGAGGGTGGGTTGGCCACCTGCGAGTCGCCGCCGGCACCCGCTCCGAAGGAAAAGTGAAATCTTCCCACTGGGGCTGGGTCACGTGAATAGGGCTGGGCCGGGACCCTTCACCATGATCCCGCGATGACCCCGCAATCTTTCTGCTCCAGGAAATTCTAGGGGTTGCTAAGCAGAGCCTGGGGCATGGCGGTCAGCCACCCTCATTGCCTGGACTTCCTGGGCCTGATTTGTGAAGCCTTCTTTTGGGAGCCTCAGGGAATCCCGAGGCGACCGGATCCCAGGAGAGTAAGGAGATCCCTCTGGATCCCGGGGGTGAAGATGGGAGCTCTATTTGAATTGAGACAGGCCTCTGAGGAAAATAAGGATGGGCCAGACCCAGGATCTAGGGGAAGGAGAAATGTAGTAAGAGACTAAAAGTCTGAGAAATTAGAGGAAGAGGTTTAGTACAGTGGGAAGCAGCTTAGTTTGGTGGAAAGAGTGCTTGCCTACTTGATGAAATATTAGGTCACCATCCATTGCCCGTTAACTAGTCAATTTAATAGTGACATGAACTTCTCTGTTAACTGAAAAAAAATTACCGTTTGAATTTGTGCTTCCATTACACCTATGTCCAAAAAAACAACTACTGCAAACTAAAAAACAAACTAAACTGAGAAAAAATAAGTTTAACTGTTGGAGAGATTGAATTCTGAGTGGAGTTCTTCCCTTTCCGTTTCTGCACACTCTGTTCAATAAGTAATTACTTTTTGTCTGATTTTAAAAGTACTAGCTGTACTCTGCTCCCTATTCTGTAGCTATCTAGCCTTAGTAAAGTCATTTTACTACTGTAGATTTGGGTTTGCACTTCTGCAAAATGAGAAGCTTAAACTGAATGAAGGTGTGGGAGTAAAATGTACATTGAAGAGCTCTCTAAACATTTTAAGTGAAAAAATAAGCAAAAATGTACATACATCATAGTTGCATATATTTTTGTATCTACAGAAAAGAAGTGGAAGGATGTGTAACTAGTTAACATTAGTTGTCTTGGGAGAAGAAGGTGGAATTGGGTGGTAGTCAAAGGGAACAAAAGGGACTTGTTTGAACTTTTTATGAGAATATTATCTTAGAAATATTAAAAATGAGTAAGTTAAAATACAAATAAGGTATATGGCCTTTAAGAGTCTTTTAAGGCATTTCTTAGATCTCAATTTTGATATTTTTTTCACCTTGATGGGCACAAAGAATCATCAAAATTATTAAACTCCAAACACACACACACCTTGCAGCAGTGGGTGAAACACAGTAAAGCTTCTGATCTGTAGCCTTCTGAATCAAAGGGCTTTGCTTCATGAATATTAATATTATTCATGATAGTCACCTTCCTTCTCAGTTTGACCAAAAAGGAAGTCCTGTGGCCTTTCTCCTCAGTGATTCGGTTTTAGCACTAACTGGCATTCTGGTTTCTAGTTCATTGCTTAGCTTGCTCAACTGGCATTAAAACTACAAAACCAATAGACACCCTTGAACCATCCAGGTGTACTCAAGGATAGCCAATTTCTCCCAGATCAAGATACACAGTCACAGATGTGCTTTTCAGACAAAGTTGAAAGAGCAAACACAGGTAGATGCAAGCAAAAAAAGGTTTTTGACTACCAGCCATCAACACAATTGCATGGTGCAAAGGCGTGTCTGATTAAAAAAATAAAACAAAAACAGGACGTTCTGATTGGTGAAACAGGTGATTGATTTCCTGGTTTGGCGCTGCAGTCCCAAGAGGGTGGGGTCATACCTCCGCTGTGTCCTGTTTTTAGAAATCCTTACTCCAAGCCATCCTGATTTCTTTGGTCGTACATATGGATGGTAGGAAGCTCCATGGTGTCAGTTTGACAGGAATATTAGTGATAAGTAAACTAATATGGTTTCTAGATTTAAGACACTAAAATAAGTTACCTAATTTTTCTAAAAATCTATTATTCTCTGGTATCTGGGTAATTCTCTATTTAAGTTAAGGTATTTACATTAAGTAAATCCGGATCTTAAACACTGCGACTGGCTCAGTAAATAGTTGTTGAATGAAATGTCATGAAGATATCTCACACTGGGAGACTGCCCTTTGTAAATCTTTTGTTCCCATTTCCTCACTTCTCTCATCTGGTTAACCTGTTTGCTCTGTTTTCGGTCTCTTCTGAAAGTCCTTCATTTTATGTCACCGAGTTTTGTGTTTTCTTTTCTGCAGAGTTTTAAGAACTGATGAACCAAAAGGAGAGTTTCCAAGGTACTTGGGATATTTGGAGACTAAGGGGTTAAACTTCAATGTTTTTTTCCATCTCTTTTCTGTCCCTGGATTCCTATGGAATTCCTTTGATGCATGTAGATTGAACTGGGGAGACGGGAGAGCCTGAGCTACGCTGTTGGTAGGAAAACAACAACCCAACCCTGCCTTGCTGGTTATTCTTGAGCAGGCAGGAGTTTCAAACCAGCTCTCTGTTTCCTCTTTTCGGTTTTTCTAGACCTGTAGTACAGGCAGGGAAAGCTCAGACAGCTGTCCAGCTATCCCAGCTTTTTATTTAATGTTAAGGGAGCAAGCCAGAGAGAATTTACAGGTAGCTTGGGAAAGCATGTGTGTCGTAACAAGGGGAGGAGGTGGCGTTTCTCATACTGTCACATGTTCCTGCTTGTATGTTTCAATGTGCAAAGGTATCATTTTAGGAAAGGAATTTCATCTTTGAATGCCAAAGGCAGAAAACAACTAACCTCAAGCATACACTGAAAGTATCGAAATACTTAGTAGATTTAGCTTTCCCTAGGAACATATTCACATCTGGCATTAGGTTGTTTTTCAAAAGCTTTTCTAGACATCCAAATGTAGAAATGTGTCATGTTAAGCTTGTGTTTATCTACTTTTCTGAACAAATCTATGTCCTCATTTCCACATGCTTTTAATGTTATGTCATCTCTTCTGATGCGGATTTCCCTTTCAAATGCATTAATATTGTATTTAGAAGGAGGTCTTACAATTTCTTCTCCATACGTGACTAGTACGTCCTTGGAGGAGGGGAATCTCCCTCTGTGGTCCGCTTCCTCAGACACTTGCTAAAGACTTTCATGTCTGTCAGAAACTTCCTGCAGAATTCTCAAAAATTTCAGTGAAACCACTGACTATTGAAATAACCTGGAAAAAAAACCTATCCCCTACTTGAATTGCAAGAGTCATATCTGGGAGGTATCTGTTCCACAGAGAAGCAGGTGCACTCAGACCATTACTAAACAGTCAGGAGTTCAATACGTGGGGCTCGGTGAATGAATAAAATGGATGTTGAGAAACCGGAGCTCCCATAACACTAACGACTATCTCTTTCTCTGGGAAACTTGCTCAGAGTTGCTGTGCCTTGTGATGAAATCATGTTCAGTTCTGCCTTCAAAGCTGATCGCCTTCGTGCGAACTTGCAACTGGCTGTCAGTCGCCTAAAACTCCTGGAAAGAAAGAAAAGTGAGTAGTAACACTTCAGGCAGCCCAGCCAGCTGCCGCTCGGACCTCTGTGCAGCCTTCTCACCACTCCCCGCAGCCCCGTGATGTATCTCCTAAGACCTTCCTTGCCAACTGTGGAATTTTAAATAACATTTCTGACTGGTGGGAATATGGGAATGATTATTATAGTGAACAAACCATTTATAAATGTCCAAAGACACTTCTGTATCTTGACTGAATTCATATCGATATCGGTTTTGCAAGATGTTACGATTGGGGAAAACTCAGTAAAGTGTACTCTGGATCTCTCTGTATTACTTCTTTAAACTTCATGTGACTCTACAATGATCTCAAAATTAGAAGCTGAATTTTTAAAAAATATTTCCAAAGGTTTAAAATGCAAAAATATTTCCAAAGGTTTAAAATGTAAAACCTCTCTCCACTAAGGCAGAGAACTTTATCTAGTTAAACTGTATTCAAATGTGCAGTAGCTATTAAGTTTGTGCTTCCAGGCAAATTTTTTCTGGAAGGGCTTCCTTACCCTTTTTCAAACAGCCAGTCCCTGCATGTCGCCGCCCGCCCCCCCCCCATCTAAATCTACATCTCACATGCCCCCAACCAGGACCCAACCTGGAACCTAGGCATGTTGCCCTGACCTGGAATCAAACTGGAAACCTTTTGGTACACAGGCCAGCACTCAGTCCACTGAGCCACACCAGCTAGGGCCCTACATGTTCTTTTATTTGATCCTGATAATCTAGTGATACATCTTATTAACCAGACAAAGTTTATCCTCTTTTTACAAATGGAGAAATTTAAACATGAAGTGCCTGAGTGATCTGAGAGAAATAATGTTAATTGGTTCTGTCTTACCTAAATTGACTGCTTTTGAAAAGGAGATAATAATCTTGACCTTCCAGGGTTCTACTTGTAACACAGACTATAAGCTGGATACACAATAAATGTTTGTTGTTATTAGTGTTGATGTAACAGCAGTTTCGCATTTATCTGAAATAAGACCAGCTTTACTGTAATTTCTTTTCCCCTCAATGTCTAGGGCAAAGAACATTTCCCTATGCTGGACTTGGCTAGGCAACTTTCCAAGCACTGAGGTTTATGTGTATATTTCAAATTCAAATATAGTTTCATATAAAGATTTTTTTGCAATGACAGAGTAACTCTGTCTATTCATGATGATGAGGTGAGCATGACTTTTAGGGTATGGCAGACAGACAGAGTATATAATTAGGAGGTTCAGGTTTTCCCGAGTTGTGAAAAGCCTATTTTCCCAGGCTCAGTCATCAGTTGATAACTCAAAGGAATAAGACATTACTTATGGCACTGGATGACGAATGGGACAGGCTACAGCTGTTACCTCTCCAGCATGACTCTACTTGTTCATTTTACAACATAACTTGGTGGAAAAGCATAGTTATGTGCAAGTCTGAAGATTTGGCCTTAAGTTTCAATTCAACCCGCTACTTGAAATCATGTGACCACGGGCAAGCCACTTTACCTTTCAGAGTCTCAGTTTTCTCAGCTGTCAAGTGCACGTAACATACACACCTCACACAGATGGTGTGGGGATCAAACAGAATTGTGTATATGAAAACATTTTTTAAAATGCAAAGCATGACATACATTCTCCTTTTTCAAATAGCTAATCTTTTTATTACAAAAATAATGAATGTTCACTATGGAACATTTTAGAAAATAAAGGTAAGCTGAAAGACTACAATAAAGATGACCAGTCCAAACACCCCCTCGAGCAATGGTTCCCAGGCTGTAAAAGGGGTCAGAATCCAGAGGGCTGGTTCAAACACCGAGTTCTGATTCAGTATTGCGGAGGTTGGCTCCAAGAATCAGCATTTCTAACTAGTTCCCAGGCAATGCAGCCATTGCTAATCTGGGGGTGATGCTTTGAGAACCGCTGAACTAGTGTGAAACACTGAGCACTTTTTGCATCAACGGTATACCTTAAGTGTATGTTTTTATTTGGTTATTGGTTTTTATAAAAACATCGTTTCACACTACTGTGCAACCTGCCTTTTTATTTAACAAACTGCTGTTTGCACGTTCAGTCTTCTGTATGTATGCTTTGCGCTGCAGCCGAGCAGGCCCAGAAAGCAAGGAAAGAGATTGCTGACTATCTGGCTGCTGGGAAAGATGAGCGAGCTCGGATCCGAGTGGAGCACATTATCCGGGAAGACTACCTCGTGGAGGCCATGGAGATCCTGGAGCTGTACTGTGACCTGCTGCTGGCCCGGTTTGGCCTGATCCAGACCACACAGTGAGACCCCTTGAACTTGATTGTGTTTCAGGCTCAAAGGAGTGACAGGCCATCCCTACCACCCGGTGAGGGAGAGGGTGGGCTCTAACTTGTCGGGACTGTGTCACAGTATTTTGTGTCCGCTTGAACAGACTATGTCAGTCCAAAGAACCATTTTTAAAAACCAAACAGATGGCTTTTTTCTTGCTGTAGATAAATTGGAAAATACAAAGTATTTTGTGTCTGCTTGAGGAAATATGGCAGCCCAAAAACCCATTTTTATAAAAACCAAATAGATGCCTTTTTTCTTACAATACAAAAATTGGACAGGAGGAGAGAGTTATGAGGGCGAAATGGGGACAACTGTACTGAACAATAAAACAAAATATTAAAAAGTTGGAAAATACAGACAAAAAGAATCTGTAATCACCAAATCTGGAGATAAGAATTTTTGGTATTTCTCCTTTCAGTTTATATGTGCATATTTGTATGTATTTCTGTGTGTATAAACATGTATATGCGTGTATATACTTTTACATACCTATATGTACATAGAGATTTATATTCTAATTTCAGTTTAAAATTTTTCATTTTGACATTATTTTTTTAACATTGTCCATGAAGTGGGGAAAAGAGGGAAACAGAAAGCCCTGATTTTCTCTTTTTTTAAAGATTTTATTTATTTATTATTAGAGAGGGAAGGGAGGGAGATAGAGATAGAGATAGAGATAGAGAGAGAGAGAGAGAAACATCAATGTGCGGTTGCTGGGTGTCATGGCCTGCAACCCAGGCATGTACCTGGACTGGGAATCGAACCTGCGACACTTTGGTTCGCAGCCCGTGCTCAATCCACTGAGCTATGCCAGTTAGGGCTGAATGCCCTGATTTTCATAATTGTGCACTTTCCTTAGGGCACTGGACTCGGGTCTGGCTGAATCTGTGTCTACACTCATTTGGGCGGCTCCTCAACTCCAGTCAGAAGTGCCTGAATTGAAAATAGTGAGTTTGACGAGTTTTCACTGCCTGTGCCATGATTGTAAATGAGCGTATCGCTAATGTTACTCATGTAGACTTGTAGGATTACTTGGGGGATTCTTTCTTTTCATAAAGGATAACAAAAAATAAATATTTTCTTCTTTTAGACTTTAAGTGAAAAATAAATACTGTTTTTAAGGACAGTGGTGGGGTGGGGGGGGACATTGCTTAAAAACCCCCACAAACTTGAGACTGTGTTTCTTTTGTGGGAGAAGGAGTGTCATAATTTACAAGGTGTTTAGAATGAGAGGTTTTAAGTTTTACATTTAATAGACATTTAAAAATTAAACAAAGTGCTTAGTTTATTGTTAATGCTGTTTGATGCTAAAAGAACATAATTCCATTGAGGAAACATGAAAGTGATTTTTGCTCTTTCAGTGATTCTTTATCTAAAGCAAATTTGCCATAACTTGATCAATTTTGCCTATATTTCTTTCTTGGTGATGGTTTACTGCAGGTATCTAATCAGCTGTGTGCAAAGTACAGCCAAGAATATGGGCGCCTGTGTCGAACCAGTGAGATTGGAACTGTCAGCCCTCGGGTAGTACTATTTCCAGAGACACACGTTTTTTGAAACCAGGAAGACTGGGAAAGGCTGGGCAAACTTAAAACATATAGTTCTGTGCAGAGCCAAAGATGTGTAGAAGTAATTTTTGCATTGGAGGTAGAGGAAGTTGGATAAAGATCTTAAATTAGGGAACTCAGTTCTTTCAAGGGGAGACAAATATATGGTGACAGATGGAAACTAGACTTTTTGGTGGTCAGCATGCTGTAATGTATACAGGTATCGAATTATCATGTCCTACACCTGAAGCTTGTCTAATGGTATTAACCAATGTTACCTCAATTAAAAAAAAACAAAAAAACAAAAAACTAGAGTCAAGAAAACTGAGCTGATTCTTAAGAAAACATACATTTTCCTAAATGTAACTGGCCTAGTGGTACCAAAGATGTTAATGAAACTTTGAAGGTTCAGCTTTTGAACATTTTTCATAATTCAGGCCTGACATGCAGCTGGACACAGAATTCTGGCCAAAGTAGCTGTTTTAGGCTGGTGGACATTCTCCTCGTTCAGGGCATCCGCTCTAATTGGTCAGTGCCTCGCTGCACTGGTTGTTATATATGCTGAATATCACCTCTGACATAATTCAAAATGCTTATCGCGAAATCAGAAAACATTTTTCTTATGTTTATTCTTTTCCTCTTACTCTATTTGGTTTGAGGGGCCTTCACCCCAGGCAAGGGCTGTCTTATGATACAAGGAGGATTCCCTCCTTGTTGTGGCTAGATAATTATCCTTCTACCATCATACATCTTAAATAACAGTGACTAGAAAGATGAAGAACAATGATGCAGAAGTGAAAGACCAGCTAAACTCTTTTTGCTTCTTATTTTGTAGATGTGAGTGTGACCAACTCGGTTATGTTCTTTATTTTTCAGCTCATGTGTAAATTAAATGTGGACACTCTACCCCAGGTTCTAGTGGAACAGTACCTGATAGAAATTGCTAAGAACTATAATGTGCCATATAAATCCCAGGCAACAATTATGGTGAGTACTTTCAAAAAGGGAGAATTGATTTAAAGCTGAGATTTCTGTTGTGTGCTAGGAGATTTTTTTTTTTCTACTTAGGAATGTGACTCTCAGGATAGCTATGTCAGGATTGTAAATCAGGTAAAGTTTATACCTTTTGTCTGCCCACATACTTTTCCTAACAGAGCTTGACTTCTGATAACTATCAGATGACCCTTCTAAGTTGTCAACAGGGAAATGGAGAAGAAATGGTGAAGGAACCTAAAATGTTACACCCAAATGTGTGAAAAACAGTTTTTGTTCTTAAGATCTCTACTTTGTCCTGTGGATATGTTATATTTTAGTAAAGAGATCTTTATTAAAGATCTAGAATGAAGGTTACAAAATCCAAAGGCACAAGGCACTATCATTTAGTCTTGCCTAAGGGTGTTAAGTTCAGTGGTGAAATGACCCATATTCACATCCTAGCTCCACCTTTTATTAATTGTGAGATCTCAGGCAAGTTGACTTACTCTCTCAAAGACTCAGTTCTCTGGACTGTAAGAAGGAGGATAAGGCCCTGGCTGGGTAGCTCAGTTGGTTGGAACATCGTTGCAATACTCCAAGGTTGTGGGTTCCATCTCTGATCAGGGCACATACAAGAAGCAACCAATAAATGCATAAACAAGCAGAACAACAAATTGATGTTTCTCTCTCTCTTTTCCTCTCTCTAAAATCAATAAATAAAAAAGGGGGATAATAATGATTAATGGTTACTAACAGATCTGAGTTTCTTGGGGTGATTAAATCAGCTAATTAATATGTACAAGGGATTTAAATGCAATGCTGGCCCATCAGAAATGTAATCAAGTTTTGCTTTTTATCATCATCATTGCCATGGAGGATGCATTAAGCTTCCAAAAGGTGGTCAGGAACTATTTTAGGGCCAGAGGGATATCTCCCTAATGTCTCTCAAACCATCTCATACGGGGAGTGACTTATTTTAGCAATTGATAAAGTTGTGTCTGGTAACTTCTTTTTTTTTAATTTATTGATTTGAGAGAGAGAGAGAGAGAGAGAGAGAGAACATTGATTTCTTGTTCCACTTATTTATTCATTCATTGGTTGCTCCTCATGTGTGCCCTGACTGGGGATTGAACCTACAACCTTAGCATATTGGATAACACTCTAACCAACTGAGCCGCCCGGTCAGGGCTCTAGTAACTTCTTTATAAAAGATGTCCCTGCACTCACGTGTCAAACTTGTGCTTAGTGCAGGCAAGAAGCCACAAGGGAACTCTGTTCCATCCTGTGTTCCCACACTGCTGCCTTCCAGTTGATGGGGCAGCATGTGACACATTGGGTTGGATTAGGGGCACACTTGTCTTTTCTGATGCTTTGCTCCCGATGGTTTCCTGACAGGGACTCTTACTCATTTTTCTCTTTCAAAGAGTTATATGATTTGTTGAAAAATGGCATATTGTGAATATTTAGATAATACCAAAAGGGACTGTGAAGAGGTAAAAACCACTTGAAATACCACTAGAGATGTGTCCAAGGGCTCAGCCGTGGACCTCTGCTTTTTCTCCTCTACTCTCTAGGTGATTCTGGCCAACATCATGGTTTTCAACACCATTTTTATGGTGAGGACTTTTACACACATATCACTAGCTAAGGCTTCTAGGCTGATATGAACTCCAGGCTGGTATATACACCCACCTTCTTGAAATCTTTGCTTGGATATTTCAGAGACACCTCAAATTTTACATGTCTAATGATGCTGTTACCCTTTTCAACAGCCCACTTCTTCTACAGTTAATGGCAATTCTGTGCAAGGGCAAGAATCTTAATGTCTTCCTTGACTCTCCCCTTTCTCACAGCTGCTAGCCCCCAACCAATCTTCAGCAAGTCCTACCTTCAAAATATATCCACAATTCTGCCACATCTCACCATCTCCGCTGACAGTACCCTGGCCTAACCTGCAATAATCTCTTCTCTGAATGGTTCAAGGTCCTCTTAACTGGTTTTTCTGCTTCTCTACCCTTCTTCCCCATTCACTGATGTTCAATATTGCCTTCAGAGATCTGGTTAGTACCTAAGTCAGATCTTTTCACACATCTGCTTTTGAATCCCCCCAGTGGCTTTTTATTTCACTTAGAATAATGGGCAATGGCTTTACTACCTACGACTGAAGAGGCTGCTCATAACTATTCTCTCCTCTTGTCTCTGGCCTCCTTCCTTCTGCTCTCCCCCAGTTTACTCTGCCTCAGCTACACTGGCTGCTGGCCTCCTCACGCTGCTTCAAACACACACAGCTGACCCCCACCAGAGGGCCTTTGTACCCCCTGTACCCTATCTTCTCTACTATCTGCCTGGTCCCTCCCTCACTTTCTTCAGTGTGAGGCCCTTACTGGCTACCTTCTCTAAACTGTCAACCCCTTCCCTTTTCTCTGCTTTATAATTTTTCTCTCTCTCTCCTATCTTTATCTAACACACTATATAGTTTGCTTAGTGATCTTGTTTATTATATGTATCACCTTCTGGAATATCATCAGCTCCAGGAGCACAGGGACTTCGTTCTGTTTTGTTCACTGTGCCGTCCCCTGCACTGTGCCTGGTTTACATTAGGTAGTCAATACAGTTTGCAAATGAATGAGCAAGTCCAGTGTTTACCACTGTTAAGGTTTGCTAAACTTTCTTGGAGACATCTCTATGCATATTTATGTCTAGCTCTTAATCATTGGTGTACCAGTGCCTGACCTCAGACACTCAGAACACAGTCCTTGAAACAGAGACAAAGAAGTGTGAGGGCCAGAAAGCCTGGAGGTTACTTTTAACTGTCATTGACTTACACTAGACTCACAGCTTCTTGAGGGCAGGAAACACATTTCCTTTGCACAGTTTTTTCTCCAGTGCTTTCCAAGAGTGTCTGGCATGTAGTAGGTATGCAATAAACAAATGTGTAATAAATTGAGAACCCAATATTATTCTTACCCTCTTGCTTCAGGCTGAAGCCCCAGCAGACCTGGTTAGTGTTGGATTTACCGATGATGTCAAGAAAGGTGCCCACAACAATGGAGGTGGAACTGTAGCCAGACCTGGTGATGCACTTCAGGCATTGCCAGTGTCTGCATCGGGGCCCTTACCTGTGCCGTCCTCAGTTCCTGGTCCCTCATTGCTTCCTCGTGAAAGACAGGTCAGTATGGCTAAGGAGGATACTGAATATGAAATGATACTCTAACTACTGCTAGAAAGTATTTCTAAATGAATCTTTTGGATGGTAAAATTATCTTTGTGACGTTTTTAAGGCCAGGGGAATATTTGTAATCATTTAGCTTATATTTGATATGTTTTTATGCTGAATTCTTGAGAAAATAGGGCTACACACAGCCTTTCATCAACTGCTTGACAATACCACAGTACAAACCACAAAGAACACTGTATGAGCTGGCCAAATCTGGAAGTCTTGAACATACAGTGATTTAGACTCATGATGCAGATTAGATATATTCAGTTTGTGTGTAGTGAAAACAGTTAACTCTCACATTGAAAATAGGGTGAAAATCTCATAACTGTGTACATACACAAATCTAGAGGAGTCAGGTAAGTAAAAACTAAAGAGCCGTAGACCTTAATCTTCTTTACTCTTTGTTCCTTCAGTGTGAAGTAAAAATAAATTGTTATTCTTTTCATTTCTGACCCCATGAAGTTCTTTTTAAAAGATTTTCTATTTCAGCTATAACTTAATTCTAATTTTCCTTGTTGAAATTTTTTGTCTGAATAACACCTTGTGTATTGCTCAGCTTCTGCTTTTGGAATGCAAGTTCTCTGATTTAAAAATAAAGAAAACTCTATGGAAAATTTAAACATATTCAAGATTAGAGAGAATAATACAATAGACTTGCATGTACTCATCACTCATTTTGACAGTTATAAACATTATGCTGTTCTTATTTCATCTATTTCTTCCTCATTTTTTGAGAGAAAGGAATGTAAAGCAAATTTCAGACATTATATAATTTCACCTTTAAATATTTCTCTATATATTTCTAACCTATACCCTTTGTTTTTATTGATGATTTTTTATTAAAGATTTTATTTACTTTTAGAGAGAGGGCAAGGGAGGGAGACAGAGGGAGAGAAACATCATGTGCGAGAGATGCATTGATCAGTTGCCTCTCACACACCTCCAACTGGGGACCTGGCTCACAGCCGAGGCATGTGACCTGACTGGGAATTGAACAAGCAACCTTTTGGTTCACAGGCTGACACTCAATCCACTGAGCCACACCAGCCAGGCCCCCTTTGTTTTTATAAGATAAAATAATGTCTTTATGATAGCCAACACAATGAAAAATAATTTCTTAATATTGTATAATACTCAATCCAAATAAAATTTCTCTAATTGTCTGGAAAATGCATTTTTACAGTTATTCTGTTGAAATCAAGATCCCAAAAGATCCACACATTGTATTTGGTTGATACCTCTCTTAAATCTTTTCAACTCTAACACTTCCTTCTTCCCACTTCTATGTTTTTTCTTGCCATTTATTTGTTGGAGGAAAAGTCCTCTGATTTTATTAAAGTGAAGCATTTTTTCACAAGTAGTCTCTAGGTTCAAATATAAAATATTCCTTGATTCTTGTATGAGGCCATATGTGACAGAAGCATCAAAACCCATAGTCACTCTTAAGGCTGATTTCCAGAAGGCAGAAAAACCCTTCATCTTAAATAAGAAGAAAGCTTGACTGTGATAAAATTCACTTAAGTTAATTTTAAGAAATATTTATTGAAGGCTTACTATGAAAAAACTATGTTTTAAAGCAGTTGCTTCCCAGTGATTTTTTTTTTTCTTTCAGAATGACTCCTATAAGTACAATTTGCCTCCTATACTGGTTCCTGGTAAGTATAGGGCATGCTGGAAATGGTTGGTAATATTGCTTGATATTCATTAAAGATATTTCAGTTGTTATAAGACGAGTCATTCCTCCATTGGTGGGAGGAGTTTATTAGTGATTAACTGGGATGACAGTATGTTCCCTTGTAGTAGCCAAGTAGTAGTTCACAAAGTTGATATGGATCTCAAACAGATCTTTAATTCAAAAAAAGTTTTAAAACCACTACTATACTAGATCATCCTGTCATGTTTTGAAAAAATTGTGCCTTTAAAAAAATTCAGACCGCAGTTGTGGAAGATTGCTGTCACAATGTAACTATTACCACCATTTCCATGTTGGGGGAGTGGTCTAGTTTTCCAGCCATACTATGTACTGTTCTGTCAATAGCAATAATAGCCTACTGTTTTTAAGGCAGGAATTTCATTCTGGAGTACATATTGGCGTGATTTTTTAAATCACATTTTTTTTGATACGAATAGGTCCTGGACCCAACCCCAAAACTTCTCCAAAGCCAGCATCAAGAACCAAGATTGGTTTTGATAACTTTATGCCTGATTTGCCTGATGCAAAACCTCAAGCAAGCCTTTCCATTGACCCTTATGATTCAGAGGAAGTTGATTTCGAAGATCTCGACCGGAGACTTGAAATGCTGAAGAAAGCCATATAATTCCTTAGTCCTAGATTGAGTATTTGCCTGGGAATTAGGGCTCTTGCACACAAATTTTAATATGGCCATTGATGTGTCAGTGTGAAGTTTTCTAATTTAGAATTCCTTCCATCTCTTAAATCATATGGTTCTGTTTGTAATAATGTATATGTTTCTCTGTTTGTGTGCATATACATATGATCATATAGTTATTCCCATTTCTTAAAATTCTATAATTCTTAGATGAACATTCTTGACCTACAGAGTTTTATTAATTATAGTCAATAAACTTTCATTTTCTCTGAGATTCTTATTTCTCTCAGAATTATCACTTTTTCCAAGGAAGCAGAATGGTGTGCATGTAAATCTCATCCCTATACTTACTAGTTATAAATAAGACTTTTGGCAAATGGTACCTCCTATCAGATGTGCATGAGAGAGCTAAGGAACTAGAGGAATGCATGTCTTCTTAAAAATGAATATCTTAAGGAATGTGCAAACACTAAAAGTGAATAAGAGAAGTGCTTTCCGAAAATCTGGAATCTTGTATGCCTGGATTCAAATGTAGACTCTGCCACTTACTACTTCTAAGCTTCCTTTTTTTCTCACCTGTAAAATGGGGGAAATAATGAGGATTAAAAGAAATAATGTATGTAAAGCTTTTTAGTACTTAGTAGGTGCTCAATAAATAATAATTTCCTTTCTCATTGCTTGCCAAGTTTTACTGGACTAAATATTAATGATTCTATGAGACTAGGTAAAGGAGAGGCTGAGAAAACTAGTTGGCCAAATTAATGATATTTTTGTTTGTTTCTTGTGTAACTGGCATTTTTGTTTTTCTTTTTAAGAAACTATTTTTTAGAGCAACTTTAGGTTCATAGAGAAATGCCAAATTTCTTTCTCTCTCTCTCTCTCTCTCTTTTTTTATGTGTGTGTGGAGGCTCAGAGGCGATCAGCTGCTTCAGGATGAAGCTGAACATCTCTTTCCCAACCACTGACTGCCAGAAACTCATTGAAGTAGATGATGAACTCAAACCTCATATCTTTTACGAGAAGTGTATGGGCATAGTTGCTGCAGACATTCTGGGAGAAGAATGGAGGGGTCATGTGGTTTGAAATGGTAGAAACGAACAAGGTCTCTCCAGGAAATAGGATGTCTTGACGCATAGCCATGTCTGCCTGCTGCTGAGCAAGGGCATTCCTGTTACAGATCATGTAGGACTGAAGAGAGAAGGGACAAATCTGTTCAGGGCTGCACTGCGGATGCCAATCTTCATATTCTCAACTTGGACATTGTAAAAAAAGCGGACAGGGGGCAGATATTCCTGGTCTCACTGATACCACTGTACCTTGTTTCCTGGGTCCCAAAAGAGCGAGCAGAATCCACAGTTTAAAAAAAATATATTTTATTTATTTATTTATTTTTAGAGATAGGGAAAGAGAGAGAAACATCAATGTGTGAAAGATAGATCAATTGGTTGCCTCTTGCAGGCCCCCAACTGGGAACCTGGCCCGCAACCCAGGCATGTGCCCTGACTGGGAATCAAATGAATACCCTGCTACCCGGCCCCAGTTCACAGGCTGGCACTCAGTCCACTGAGCCACACCAGTTGGGGCAGGAGCCACAAATTTTTCATTCTTACTAAAGAAGATGATGTCTGCCAAGATGTTGTGAGAAAGCCCCTAAGCAAAGCAGGTAAGAAACCTACGACCAAAGCACCCAAGATTCAGCATATTGCTACTCCACGTGTCCTGCAACATAAATGTTGGCATATTGCTCTGAAGAAACAATGCACTAAGAAAAACAAGGAAGAGGCTGCACAGTATGCTACACTTCGGGCTAAAAGAATGAAGGAGGCCAAGGAAAAACATCAGGAACAGATTGCCGAGAGAGTCGTCTCTGAGAGCTTCTACCTCAAAGCCTGACCCCGGTCAAAAATGAGGTCTTCTAAGAGGAATAATAAATAAGGACAAACACCAAATCTCAAAGAAAGAAAAAAGCCAAATTAATTTTTAAACGCAGTTGCTGGTTACGTGGAATCTTTATTTCAAATTCCTATTTTATGAGTCCAGGAGAGTTTACATTGCCCCCTTTGCGTGTGAAAAAGTGACACCTGTATACCATTTTCTCTCTTTTAAAAAAATCAGTTTTGTCTTGAATGTTTCATTCTAAGATTTTCCTCTCCTTATGAAACACAAGTTTATTCAAAGAATATGGGTTAGAGGAAAGATCCTTGAAATCCAAGGCCAGGGCCTGACCTGCACAGCAGTCTGGCTGCCTCTCCTCAAGAGTGTACACCTCCCCCCACACACACACCTGTTGGAATCCTATCATTGTCAGGCACGTGTGAGGGGCTTGGTGGAGGAGCAGTTTGGTGTTCCCTGAGCCAGATACTAGGAATTGGCGGCCCCAGTTACTAAGGTGTCCCAACACTTTTTGGACTTCCCAGACTAATTTTAAAGCAGCACGAAGGGTTGACTGATTTTAAAGGAACAAGGATGGGGCTCTTCACTTGATGGAGAACAAAACCAATTCACTATGGATCCTTCTAGGCAAATGATAGTGTCCATATTAAAGAAATAAAATTACAATGAGTCTGAAGCCCTGCTCTTTTTCTGGGCAATGCGCTTTTCCCAGTGGCCTCAGTTCCCTCTTCCCTACATGGGAGAAGGGCACCGTTTCCTCAAGTTAGGGTTTGACTTGGTTGCAGTCTCATATCTGGTGAGATTTTTCATTCCGAAAGTGCCAACATAACAGGCTCATTTGCGAAGCAAGCATAACTACTCTTCAAAAAAATATAAATATGACATAAAACATCTCAGGTGCAGACACTTTGGACTGCCTCTTTTAAAATATCTTTAAAGCAAAGAAGGTGCTTGGCTGGGCCTGATATCTCCTGGGCTTTGGCCTTCTCTTGGAAGGAACATGTAGTACATTTCCCAATATTCTTGGTAGGAGGTCAAGGAGGATGTGGAGTGTATGGAATTTTAATTTTTACTTCACTTCTGGTTTTTGTCATAACTGAAGTGTTAATCCCTAAGCCCCTTCCTAGGCCAGGATAAACTGCGAGTAGGCACCATGCTTAAAAGAATTGTAAAAATCCTTTTCCCAAGAGCATCACATAAACAACAGATGGACTAATTTCTGTCTGACTTTCTGGCTTATTTATAAATTCAGATGACTCAAACATAACAAAACAGGCCAGTGGAACTGCCTCTTTGATGCAGGTCCCTGTATTTCCTACAGGGTTGTGTTCCCTCTTCACTGTCTTTTCTCGCTGAGGTCTCTAGTAGATGGAGAGGAGGAAGAGTTCCTTGTGAAAGACACTGACTACAATTCTGCAGAGAGGGCTTTCCTCATCTGCTGTAAAGGTCATATGGCTTCAGCTGACGATACTGAGAGAGGGTAGCCCCTCCACCCCCAGTACCACAGATTCCAACTTCATGTCATGTCTTCATGTCAAAAGCCCTCTTTCACTGCTCTAGTAATCTCTCACCTTTCTGCTTTTCTTTTTTTTTTGGACCTAGAACTTATCTACTGAGTAATAATATCATTAATTTTCTTTTGCATTTGAGAATTTTTAAAAAATCTAGTTTACTTCAATGAGATTATTATTATCTGGGAAGTAGGGACAGACTCTTTTGAAATGTCTATTACAGATTCTGTACGCCCAGAACAGTGTGGTATAGTGGAAAGAGCCAGGCAGCACATTCATTGAACAATTACTAAATGAACCAAAAGATATATTCCAAGTTGAAAGGTCTAGATTGGATTCTGGTCTCTGCTGTATGTAGGTGTAACAAATCATTTAATTTCTCTAGGCTTCTGTTTCCTCATGTCTAAAGTGGGGGTGATAATATTTATCCCAAAGAGAGCTAATATTTATTGAGCCCTTACTATGTGCCAACTGCTGTGCTAAGTACTTCAAGTGTATCAGCTCATTTAATGACCACACCAGCCTTAAGGTGGCGATGCTACTATTAACTCCATTTTAAAGATGGGCACACTGAGGCTCAGAAATGCTCAGCAATATTAAGTAACTTGCTGCAGGTCACACAATAAAGAGAGGAAGAGCTGAGTTTTAAACCCAGACAACCTAGCACCAGAAATCAACACTTTTAACTACTATGCTACAATGTCTGTGTGTTTTACAACCTATGGTGGGTGAGAAGCAAATGAATCAATGTAGATGCAAACACTTTCGTAAATTCGAAGACAAAATGCACTACTGTTACTTGTAGCGGGCAATCTATAAGTGCTTTAGTTGAATTGCCAGGTGGCACAAAAATTTTATACTTATATTCTCGTGACATTTGATATTTTTCAGAGTGCTTTCACACATTTGATCCCTCTGCGTAAGAAGACACTTTGAGTCCATTTTCAAATAGGGCCAGTCATAAATAAATATTGGCTGGCTGAGGAAATAGACCCAGAGATGGTAAGCACCTTGTGAGTACCTTCAGGGCACAGGGTGAGTTAACCCAGCCAGGACTGGCATCTGAGTGGTCTGATTCCTGGCCCAAAACGAAAGTTTTGTTTTTGTTGTTTGTCGTGATTGTTAAATCTGCAGGTTGTCAGTAATAAATAAACCATAGAAGTAGTTATTTATTTCTCCCAGCCATTATCTTTTCCTAGAAATTTGTTTAATCCTTTCAGGCTGCTGTTATTTATATATTTAACTATTTATTTGCTTATTTTTGTTTCTTTAGGCTTTTCTATTTACACTTGATTTTAGCCAAAAGGCCAAGAATCCATAGGCTGTTGCTGTTTAAAAAACAAAAATATCCTTTAGCATTTGGATCTGTAAAACTACATTATCTTTTTCTAAATAAAAATACAGTATGATCCTTGCAAAAACAAAACTTAATAAAGTAAAAATCCTCTAACTCCCACTATCCAAGGTAACCATTTTTATATTTGCTTTATTTTCTTTTAAAATTTAAAACTTTGTTTTTTGTTATTTTTCTTACATTTTAATTTTATTCTTCAACATTTTCTATGTATACAGTATACACTTTTTACAAGCCCATTTTATGATACCATTTTGTAATGTTTTAACAAATCTGTCAGACTATGATAAAGATAGAGCTATAGGTTCATTTTTATTGGCTGCATAGTATTCCATTTCATTGATGTGTTATAATTTATTTATCTGAAATTAGGGATTATGTTTGAATAGATGGGGAGTAAGTCTTTCCAAACTTGAATCACTAGCTGCAGAAAGCAATCAAGATAATGAGGACCATGCTATATATTGAGTCCATTGCTTTTAGTTTCAGTTGCAAGTTGCATTGAAGGATGGTTTGGTAATTATAAAGATAAATATATGTCAAAAATACATGAAGAGGGTTTACATTTTACAATGTTTGCCATTTTCTCTTTAATGATCTGCCATTTGGCATGCTAGAAAAAAGTTCCTTCCTCTTTCTTAATAAGATGGTTTAACTTTTTGTGTGTGGTTAATGATAAACATTTAAATTCAACCTCTAAGCACATTTTTGTGAAGTTGCAAATTAAATACTTCAGCTAACAGCTTTGCAAACTGCAAACTCTTTCTTTTTATGGGGGCCCAAACTGTAGTACTTTAACATGTGTTCATGCATGGCTATACTTCAGAGGAATCCATGCTAAG